CTCAAGTGTGCATCCACTGCAAGAGGAGCCCAGAAACCCGGGACACCCCAAACCCGGGACACCCCAAACCCGGGACACCCCAAACCCGGGACACCCCAAACCCGGGACACCCCGAACCCGGGACACCCCAAACCCGGGACACCCCAAACCCGGGACACCCCAAACCTGGGACACCCCAAACCTGGGAAATCCCAAACCCGGGACACCCCAAACCTGGGACACCCCAAACCTGGGACACCCCAAACCCGGGACACCCCAAACCCGGGACACCCCCAACCTGGGACACCCCTGTCCTGGGCTATCCCTGTCCTCCTGTCCCTCAGCCCGTGTCCCCCAGCCCCTCTGTCTCCCTGTCCCTCAGCCCGTGTCCCCTGTCCCCGGTCCTGCTGTCCCCTAGCCTGTGTCCCCATGTCCCATGTCCCCTGTCCCCCTGTCCCGTGTCCCTGTCCCCTGTCCCCCTATCCCCTAGCCCGTGTCCCCCTGTCCCCATGTCCCCATGTCCCCGTGTCCCCATGTCCCCATGTCCGTGTCCCCTGTCCCCATGTCCCCTGTCCCCTGTCCCCACAGGTAAATACTGGGTGGCCGTGCAGCGTTTCGCCTCCAAGCTCGGCTGCTCGTTCCTCGAGGCTCAGCACCACGAGGCCGACGAGGTGGAGACGGTGACAGCCCTGGCGTCCCTCTCGGTGGCCGTCATGGGGGACAAGAGGTGACACCCCTGGGGGGCCGTCCCGTGCTGGGGGAGGGGGCGGCGGGGCAGGGCCGTGTCCCGTCCCCCCCCCCCCCAAAGCCTGGGGGAGGGTCTGGGGGTCGGGACTTGGATGAGCTCATGGGAATTCTGTGCTGGGGACTGGGAATTCCATTCTGGGGACTGGGATCCCATTCTGGGAACTGGGAATTCTGTGCTGGGGACTGGGAATTCCATTCTGGGAACTGGGATCCCATTCTGGGAACTGGGATCCCATTCTGGGGACTGGGAATTCTGTGCTGGGGACTGGGAATCCCATTCTGGGGACTGGGAATCCATTCTGGGAACTGGGATCCCGTTCTGGGGACTGGGAATTCCATTCTGGGTGCTGGGATTCCATTCTGGGTACTGGGAATTCTGTGCTGGGTACTGGGAATCCATTCTGGGTGCTGGGATTCCATTCTGGGTACTGGGAATTCTGTGCTGGGTACTGGGAATCCCATTCTGGAATTTCATTCTTCCCGAATAAAAGCCAACCCAAATTTTCCTGCCAGCAGGGTCCCCTCGTGTCCCCTCCCTTTT